TTCATATCTCGAACCGGGACTAGTCCCGGTTTGAGACACGAACCGGGACTAAAGGGTGCGATGCCCTTTTGTCCCTGTTCGTGTCTCAATTCGGGACTAAAGGGTCCATTTGAACCGGGACTAATGCCTTTAGCCGCTCGAACCGGGACTAATGCTCACATTAGTCCCGGTTCGTAATGCAACCGGGACTAATGTGTATATTGCGCTATGACCAAATCCCTGTTTTCTACTAGTGTTTATTTTTTAGAAGCCTACTAATTAAGACTTGATTAGTAGGCTTCAATTTTTTTGGTTGCACTTCTAGAATAAGCAAGGTAGGGGCAACTTATTCTATAAGCCCCCCAAAAAACCACCAAAAGAACTAGCCCTTAATGGACATCTTGGTACTCTCTGAGTGTTTGACTTCTAATCATTGCAGGAATGTGTGCTTCTATTAGATAGCTTATTTTTGAACGTGCCCGAATACCAAGACTACTTACTTTTTCACAACATCAAACCAAATTTATGCTTCGTCTATAAATAGACCCCACACCTCTTTTGATGGGAACGTGTGAGGTTGTTTCGAGACTTCGTTTGAGTTTTTGGGAAAACCAAGATCATCCCTTTCTTGAACCCCACATTTGATCTCCATCTCTCTTTATGAAGCCTATCTTTGTGATCATATGGGTTCTTGAAAGAGATTGATCGGAGGTCTTTGGGGAAGTTCATCCAAGTGATTATGTTTTGCCTCTTACTCTTGTAGGGTGTGCACCTCCTAGATTGTCAGGACTTAGGAGTCACTTGACAGTCTTTAGAGTTTGTGAAGGAATCAAGAGTTTGTATGAAGCACGATGATCGCTTTCTTCATGCAGGATCAACCCCAAGTGAGTCTTTAACCTTTGTGTGGTAGCAAGTCATGGTGGAATATGTTGGCATGCACTTTGTGGGCTCTTTGTGGGCGACGCTGTTGTGTCCTTCGTGCACCATAGGATTTTGTGCCTGAACCTCCAGTGATGAGTAGTGGAATAGCACCAACTACCGAATCTCAGGAAACCGTCAAGATCTTTGCAATCTCTATCCCTAACTTGTACTTTTCTCTAGTTTCGCTTTCGCGTTCTTCTTTTGTTATATACTAGCAGGTGTAGGTATTGTGAAGGATATAACTGGAAAAAGGCTAAGACTTCCACATTAAGATTCATAGTAGAATTTTTGCATAGGACTATTCAAGCGCCCACCCACCCCAGTCCATGGGATACGATCCTACAATATTGCTTTCTACTCCAACCGTTCCTAAATATTAGTCTTTCTAGAGATTTCAACAAGTGACTACATATGGAGCAAAATGAGTGAATCTACACTTTAAAATATGTCTATATACATTCGTATGTGGTAGTCCATTTGAAATTTTTAAAAAGACAAATATTTAGAAACGGAGGGAGTATCTGTTTTCGTCCATCTTTCATGGTTACCTTGTTAATTTTTTTTCTACTTAATGCAAAGATAGAGTGCATGTCCATTGCTCAAGAAAGACGAGACAAATGACAATCCTTCCGCAAGATTTTGAAAACCATGTTGTCCTTTCATGAGATTGTTTCTGGTCTATAGCAATTGATGACTAGCTAGCACAAAGAGCCACACGAAAATATGCACACGAGGAAGAACATATAGATTACATACAGCTGGACACATCAGCATTATTGCATATATTGAGAAATTCAGATACACGTCGGCCCACATACATCGTCAGGGTAGCCAGACAGTTAAGAAACATGGAAACACTGACACATTAACACACATGAAACATGCAGCTAGAGGCCAGAGAGGCGCGCGTGCGTGCTGGGCTCTCTCGTGCGGATCAATAAGATCGACTTAGCAGGAGGGCACGGGCACCTTGCAGGCGGCCAGGAGCTTCTTGCCGTTGGGGGAGTCGACGTACTGCTTCAGGTTAGGGTCGCGCCCATACTGGCACATGCACAGCCTTTGCTCATTCATTCTACTGCAGCATACCGCCGTCGGCGCCGCGTTCCCGATGATGGCCCCCGCGCACGGGGTGAGCTGCAGCGGGTTGCAGGTCGCCGCCTCCGCGCCTGCCGGTGCCACCATCAGCACCACCGCCCAGAAGGCCAGGAGCGCCACCACCAGCTGGGCCAAGTTCTTCATGGCGCCTCCCCCTGAAACCTGGACGAGAGAAACAGAACGATCGACTAGCAGCAGTGGCCTGTGCAAGGATGGCTTTGGATGGTTTGAGTGTTTGTGATGAGGCCAGTGGTATTTATAGGCTCTCGATCAAGACAGTGCAAACATGGGCCAAATGGCCATGGTTAGTGCAGTGTGCAACGTCGAGGGTTTTTTTTTTGAAACGGAGCAACGTAGAGGTTGCCTGCATTTAATATGTGCGTTCTTCTCAGGAGCACGTTGCGCTCATGGAAGACATGGTGATGAACACAAATAATCCAACTAGATGGAGGACTAAAAGTGGAGAGCATCTGCAATTTTAGTCGCGCTGAAAGCTGCGCGCACTAGCTCTAAAACTAAGTGTCACAGCCCTGTTTATCTAAAATAAAATAAAAAATATATCAGGGTAGGTAGACTGCGCATGATATGTTCTGACCATATCAACTTTCTTAAATGATTAGTATTAAAGAACATTTGAAGGTCGAGAAACACTAGTTTGGTAAAGAGTCAAGTGTAGAATTAAAAGGTAAATTGATGGTCATTGATACAAGGCTCAAGGTTTGAAAATGGTACACTTGCATGTCTAGTTTCAGTGACTTATCTTTGGAACACTTTTTCGACTAAGGCTAATATAATATTTTAATATCAAAGATGATACCGATACATTCGGCCTCTGTAATAATGCAATATTAATACCAAGTCGAGACAACAAGGATATACAAAACCAAACAGATTTAAAAGAAGAAGAAAAAATAAACAAAGATAGCCGAAGCAGCCAACGACTTGAAATAGATAAGCAGCAACACGATCCACCATTCTTCACAACACACGGACTACGATAGAAGTATTATGAAAGCAGCTCCTCTAAAAAGAAAACGATGCACAAACGTCGCTAGATCCAACCACTGAGGGTCAGATCTTGAGGTCTAACCCCAAAGAGCACCTTCCAAGCATACTTCAAAACAATGCCTTCAACAACGACACAGTATAAACACCGTCATTGCCAGGTGTAGCAATCAAATTAAGGTCAGATGTATAGCTTTTAGCCCGGAGCTTGAGACTTGGTGTTCGTAGAGCACCACCAAGACGAAGTGAGCATATGTGTCACCACCCCCGGTCTTGAAGAAGACAAGTTGCATGCATGGAGGAGCACACACACCATGGTCACGATAAATTGAGACCGACCAGTTCATGGCATACATGCCCGGAGGCGGCCGCTGGCATGCATATTCCTGTCATGGATATCACCATGCACCCAAATCCATGCTTGCGAGCACTGAACTATCGCGGAACATTAAGAGTCAAACATCATCCGCAGCATCAACTCACGGGCAGATGCTCCAGAGCACTATGCCTGAGATCGAGGGCGACAATGTCGTTGTGACACGACATAAACTTTCTGGCTATAGCAGGTCTCGTAGCCGCACCACCCTCGCCCCATAGCTTCACCACTTTATGTCCCGCCATTGCTGCTCCATTGCCGCTACCACTACCGACTAGGCCGCCAACCAGCCCCCGAGGCTCCACTAACGGCCAATGGCTACATCCGGGCATCGGTGGCCAACCACGACAACCGCTGTTGCTCAAGTAGAAAAACTCCTAGAGTTTCTACGGTTACCGCCCCGATATCCAAGCTCCATCGCTACTCCGTGACGAACCCTAGCCACTGCCCCGCCGCCTCCTGTCTTCTCCCCACCACACTGCAGTAGGAGGATGTCAACGTCAGCGGTGGGGCTGCCTTCTCACGCGGCAACTTCTCTTGCACGGGGAGCGCTCCATGATCTTCAAAACATTTGATTAGATATGAAAACATACCTTTGCCCATTTTCCGTGACTCGTGTATTAACTCCGCATACAAATCCCCTTTTGTTTATGGTATATATAATAGTGCATTTAAAGTTGGAGATGGTCGAACCACACACTTTTGGAAGGATACTTGGCTAGTGGATGTGCCTTATAGTATTTATCTCTTTACAATATTGTGCAACACAATGATGGTTTTGTGAGCACAATATTCGGGACTTCCCCCCTTAAATATCCAGACCAGGAGACATCTAATCGAGGATAAATGGCCCGACTAAACCCTAACCGACGAGTCATACTTTTCATTGGAGGTTGACATCGTCTAGAACGTACCCAATTAAATCTATGTATATGGACTTAATTAATTCAGGCCGATTTTTCATTCAAAGCATATCTAGAAACTAAAGTGCCACTAAAGATTAAAATATTCATGTAGCTTATGCATAGTGAGTTATTCTCGCTATGAACAACTAGACAAAGTGAAGGGACAAGTTAGTTAACAATGTTATTTCTGCGATTAAGAGGAACAATGCATTATTTGTTTATCTCCTACCCGTTTGCGATTTTAACACGACACACAATTCATGTAGCATTTAACATGTCTCCATCTACTAGTATTTCAAATATGTTTGGCAACTGGTTGGGCGGGGTTGATCCTAATGTTAAGATATTTATCCGTGTGGAGGTTTGTGCCTTGCCCTGGGCCTGATGGAATTGTCAAAACGGTTGTGTTTTTTAATAAAGTAAAAATACAAAAAAATTGCAGGTTATCTTCCGAGCCATAGGATGGATCCATACATGGTACTTACTACACCATGCAGGAGCGTGGGAGCTTATGGTATCTGGATGCGACCATCAGGAGATGGTAGCACGGAATACATACAACCAGTTTGAACAACGGTTCAGTAGTCGGCTATGTGTGCGCATATTTACCGATTTTCTCGAGCCATGGCTTGTTTCTGTGTTTTATCTTTTCTTCAGTACTGGATCTTGTTACTCAAACTTCCATAAATATATGGTTGTGGGCATAGCAATGATGCATACACTAGGGCTATCCTCATTTTCTAAATAAAGAAATAGAGAAACCGTACTCACACACAAAAAAACAAGAAAGAGAAGTGTTTCAACAAGCAAAGATCAAACTCTAGCAGACTCACCATAAAGGCAGACCCAAAACTGGCTTTAGTGCAGGGACAACCCTACAAAAAAAAGGATTACACAGCCAGAAGCAAACTCCTACTCTTGGCCATGTTTATCCTCTATTATTAGTGTTCTTTGATCCCAGAATCGAAGATCAGGCATGTTGCCATAATCCGCTGAAGTATCCTTGGATCTCAAGAGATGAAAAACAAGATTGCGATTCCATAGCAGATTCCTCTATTATCACACACGTGCATTCTCAAAATTATTATGCTATGCATGAACGCGCTTCGGCTTGTTGTTGTAATCCTCTATTTTATAGGAACCTGCTACGGAAAGCAACTCAACTAGCTGTATACGTCGACACCTGCCATTTGCAGTACAGTATATTGCTAAGTTTAAGAGTAGTATAGAGAAACTGTACCCATAGTTTATCCTTTCTCACCAACAAAATAAACGTGTTCACGGGTTATAGAAAGGAAATTAAAAGGTTGGCGAATCAAGTGCTCCGTTCGATTAAGCATCGACCTGTCGGTGGTTAGTAATGTCACTCCCTCAGCTCCTTTTATTTAGCTACACGAACGTGCATCACATTCAGGACACCTAAGCCAAGCAATATTCTCTCAACCAATATTCTCACATTCATCATATTCAGGACACCTAACCCAACGCAATGCATGGAACCGCCTCGTCTACGCGAAATAGAAATGCTTTGACACAGCTGCACGGACGGATGCCGAAATCCACAAGATGCCATGGCAACAATCATACCATCTGCTGTTTCAAAAAGGAAATTTGTGAGCGTGCGAGTGTGGCTTGCAGGCTCTGGCAAGGATCCGTAGCTTGGTTCCTAAGAAATGAATCCTCCCGCATTCCTACAATGTTGATTCGAACCAAAGAAGCCATAAATTCGCAGGGGGACGCAAGTGCGGGCGCACTCACCTGCCAAGCCCTGCGGCCCGCTCGATTTGCCTCGCGATACATGAAGTAGCTGAATCGGCATGGTAAAAAAGAAAATCCGTCAAAAAGTTTTAAGTTTCAATGATGAGGCTTACGGTTTTTTCATCTAAAAATGCCTAGTTTCAACAAGTTTCAGAGATATAAATTCAAGCAATTATTTTTGCTGGTTGTAGACACAAAATAATTAATTTTTATCGGTCGCTCGTACTAAGTTTTAACATCGAAATTTAACATATTTTTTTAAAAGTCGCTAAAATATATCCAAAATGGATCTTATTTCCAAGCGCTGCTCACGAGAAATACGAATATGAAAACAAAACTTAATTTGAAATTATTGTTTAAAAGATATAGAACTTTAAAAATCGGAAGCCAAAATAAAAAGACAGCACCGGGGACCTGAGTGCCCCCCTTGCGTGCTATAAATCCTCGTCCCAAAAGAAGCTCTAACTCACACAGCCGACCCTTCCATTTAGAGTTATTTACCCAAAACCACCACACTTAGGGCTAGGATAACAACTTGATACCATATTTGAGCCATGACACAAGAAACCACCAACTCTGCGCCTAACCAATAACGCGGAGCACTGATTGTCTAGTTAGCTCGCGAAAACAGCGAAACCAACAAATAGGCCCCACCTGTCGGGCCGACGTGGCGAAGACTAAAAATTTGACCACTGATGTGGCAAATGAGATGTGGGCCCCACAGGTCAATGGCTAGATGGTCATCTTCTCCGCATCCTTTTTCAACGAGGCATTTCATCGAACAGCTTATGGGCACGAATCCTTTTCCTCTCGGTGGAGAGAGTGAGCGG